CTGTACAATAGAGACATTAGCCTAATAACCACAAGGTCTGTTTCAGCACTAATAAACCATTATTCTGTTTCCTCTAAGGGAACAACAGCAAGTCAAGAAGTATGAAGTTAACTCTCTCACAGTATCTCTGATCTAGAAATATTTAAAGATACAAGTTGGTCATGAGGAAGAGAGGCCAAATAAGGCATTCTCTTATTATAGATTAGAAAAGATCTGCACACATATTTATTATTAACTAGTAATTGTACTAACCTTACGTGAAAATTATAGAGCATATTTTATTATTGTTCCCACATGCTAGGATCTTTCCCCTGGTTATTATTCTAACAGCCATATGAAATATAGATGGCAGGTGCACTGTAGGTGTGCACAGGGGCAGCTGAGACAGAGGCGGTAGGCCATTTGTGTGGCCATGAAAAGTGGGTGAACCTTCAAGGTAGGGAGTTTATGCCCAAATTGACTTTAACCAGACAACTGGAGCAAGTTAACTTCCTTTTCTGGGCCTCGGTTCCTTCTGAGTCAGGAGAGCCCAGATACATCACTGTGATGGTCTTTTGATGCCTAATTTTAAAATATTTTGTGAAGACAAACAGCATAAATTTTGAACCATCTCATTTCCAGGCCTTGGATTCACTAGAACAATATAATTATTATTAAAGGGCTGAAATATTTTTTATATATAATCCCAGTAAATAGCCCCTGCCCTGAGCCTCACTAGGACCCAAATCCAACCCCTGTGGCCACACCAGGATTTGGCAATCAAGGGGGCAAAGCCTGGCACAGAGGGGATCAGGGCTCCTGCCAGGCCCTGCTCCAGCAGGAGAGCTACTGATTGGTCCTGGCCTAGGCCATAATAGATATTTCAAGGATCAGTTCTGTCACGCTCAGGCACTGGGTTTCATTGGCAGTAAACCCTCACTGCATGCTCAGAGCCACTTTAAAACCTTTGTGATTCCAAGAGAAGAGGATTTCATATCCCCAAGTGACCTCTTCTCCAAGCCAAAATGTTGATCAAGGAGATGGCATTTGATAAAAGTAAAGAGGAATCTTACCCAATGTACTTTAAGTTCCTCTCCATAAAACTTGGTTAATCTATTCGTCTCCTGTAAGATTGGTATTTTGCTGAATTCTTATGCATACCAATATGGAATGATCTCTAATATCCAATAAGTAAATAAAAGAGTATAAATGTGGGTAAATCAAAACATACAAAGGAATACATTTTGTAAAGTTAAAATGGTTAAAAGTGTAATAATGGACTAGTTACCAGCCACTAATACTATAAGACCATGTAGTGAAGGAAGGTCCTAATTTCTGTCTGCAGGGTAGGACTTGGTTGAGGAGAGACCCATGAGGAGAGGGCTGTTGTGCAGATAGAGCAGAGAGAGACACAGAGTGCAAGAGACACAGGGAGACAGACTAAAACAAGGGAGCCAGCAGCTGCCTACCAAGATGGGGATGGAAATAGGACCGAGGAGACGCTACATTGATTTCAGTTTTACCTTTTTCAGTGTTATCTCTTTTAGAGATGAAATTAGTCTTGTTTTATCTCTTCTAAGAATAAAATATTAGATGCAAATATAAAACAAACAGTAATAGTTACTTGTAGAAGAAATTCTAGTGTATGTTCTATTGGCTTTTCTATTTTTCTATTTTTTTTTTAATTTCTAGGAAGGAATTGAAGTTCATGTTAACAGATTCTCCATGGCTATGCAGTATCCAAGCCCTCAGACGTGATGGTAAGAATTATTTAGAAGCTTTCCCCATCATCCTCACTCAACTTCAGTCTGCCCAGGCATCTCAGATTTCCAAATCAGTTCTACCTAGCCCATTGTTAATTTATAATCTGTGATTTTTTAATGATTAAAACTAAAGTCATTCTTCGGGCCTAGTGGTGCACTCCTGTAATCCCAGAGACATGGGAGGCTGAGGCAGGAGGATTGCAAGTTGGAGGTCAGCCAGAGCAACTTACCAAGAACGTATCTCAAAACAAAAATTTAGAAATGGGCTGAGGATGTACCTCAGTGGTAGAACATCCCTGGGTTCAAACCCCAGTACCATCAATTAAAAAAAAAAAAAGAAAGGCCATTCATTAGTTCAACAAACATTTGTCAAATGCAATACAATATCAGGCATACTGAAATGAGTGATCCATAGTTGATCTAGGAGGTCAGACAGGTATAAACAACAGTGCACTGCAATTAATGTATAATAACAGCATCTTTACAAAATATTGTGTGGGAGTTTTAAAGGCACAATTCATGGAAGGACAACAAAAATAGCCTATTGAGGTTTATAGATGAAGAAAAGAAGAGGGAAATGACACCCATGGAACCCCTTTTATATTTCAATGTTGTGGTTTAGATCTCAAATGTCCCCCAAAGGCCCACATGCTAAAGGCCTGGTCACCAGTCTGTGGTTCCACTGGAAGGTGGTAGAACTTTTAAGTGGGACCTAATGGGAGAAATTTAAGTCATTGGTGGATCGTGCCCTTGAAGGGGCTATTGGGACCCCAGCCCCTTTCTGTTTCTCTTTTTCTTCCTGGCCACCAGGAGGTAAACAGCCCTCCTCCAGGCCCAAAAGCAATAGAGCCAGAAACCTGTGCAACCATGAGCCAAAATGCATTTGCTTCCTTATAAGTTAATTTCCTTAGATATTTTATCACCGCAACAGGAAGCTGAGGGATAGAGCCAGTTACCCACAGATCTCAAAACTCACAGCCACCCCATGGGGTAGGTAACACTGTTCCTCTACTTTGAAGTTGAGGAAACAGAAGCACTGAGGAGGCAGATAACCCCGTGAAACCAAGAACAATTGCGTTTCTAGCCCAGACTTGAAAATTCAAGGCTGAGAAGGAGGTAGACTTGAAGAGCTAGATTCTACCTTCTCCTAAGAAAGAATTGGGAGACTTCTGGTATCCATGCCGTCACTCTTTTTCCTTGGGATACTCACTAATAATAAAAGATCGAGGTCACATGCAGCTTGAGGCATCTTCTTACTTATCCTAAAATAAGACCTGAACACAATCTGGCTTAATGAAGATCAGTGGGATGCAGGCTTCATTCTAAATAGTCGTCTTGCATCCAACTCTTGCCTAACTTCACTAAGTTGCCTGACTTTAGAGGATACTTCACTTCCACCTGTGTGGGCACGTTCTTCTGGCCCAACTAGAGCCACAGAAGGCAGCACGGCCTTGGAGGAGGCATCAGGGGCTGGGAGAGGTTCTGAGGACAGCTGAGGGGAGGCACCGCCCTGGGTGCTGCCTAATCCATCCGACATGGGGACACACTGTACCAGAAACAGAATGACAATTAATAGAAAAATCTGCTCTCACAGCATTGCCAAGCTTGTTGCAGGGTCTCAGCTGGTGGCACGCCTCCTCAGGGGAAGAGCAACAATGCCCAATTCTTCCTTTTGGCCCCTGTCCTGATGTTTTCTCAGGTGGAAGGAGGTGGAAGTAGGAAGTTGGAAGTTTCCTCTCATGGTAAGAAAACGTTGCCCAAACAATAGTGCCAGTCCTCAAAGCCAAAAGCCCAAGAATTACAACAAGATAGAGGGCTTGGAGCTCACTCAGCGTTCAGCCCATCTAAACCCACAAAGCCCTTTTGACATACGTCAAGTGTTGGCAGATACAACATCTCTAGCCAAGGTGCCTAAGAGTAATCTGACCTTTTTTTAAGTCACCAAACCTCTCTCTGCTCTTTATCATTTGCCTGCACATACATTTTTCTCAGTTCAAATGTTTCAGATGATTCAAGAAACCCCGGCTGACCGTGCTATGACTTATTCAGGTTCATCAGATGCAGACTGCAGAGAGACCGAAGACTCCTGGGAAACCAAGCAGTCTGGCCCCAGGTTTTCTGCCTTCCTGTTCCTTTCTGGGTAATTTCTGACCTATCATTGTTCTCAACATTTAAGGGCCACACGGAATCTTTGGAGAATATCACAAAAGCTACGTTCCATTCTATGTATAAACACTCAAACGTTTGCACGTAAGTTCAGGGGATACTGTTCCAACGTCACTAGTGCACTCTCCTTCAGTCCCTGAGCCCCAAGGTCAGAACCCCAACCACAGACAAAGAAGACACAGAAGTTCATCCTTCTTGGTCACCTAGTCTCACCAGCAGACACCAACCTGAATCTCATCTAAGCAAGCTTTTACTACCCCTTCCTATCCTCCCCCAACCCCTCACATGGAAACCCTAGCTGAAGTTCAAGTTTCTGTTTTGGAACTGCCACCCAGGCTCCCTTGAGCCATTTGGTCACATCCATCTCTGGGGCCAGGCAGGTGGATGCTAATTCACCATGTTAACCCCTTTCATGCCAGTGCCCCTTAACGGAGCCTTGGCAGAGTGCCACATCCTACCACCCCACCCCTGCCAAAAAGGGGTGCAGTACTCTGTGCCATGGAAGCTAGCCAGCAGATTAGAAGTCGTGTTGCTCTTGGCATCTGTTCCAGGACTCTGTGTAGAGCTACGTGCTGAAATACCATGGCACGGGCAGCTTTTCAATACCAGAGTCTACCACCCTGCATAGCTGTGCTAACTCCTCACTGAGAGGGGCTCCGAGGACAGCTGAGGGGAGGCACAGCCCTGGGTACTGCCAAAGATGGGGACATCCAAGGATGGATGCAGATGAGAGAAAAGCAAGTTCACTCAAACCAAGAGTCCCTTTACCCATCAATAATGAAAAAAATAATAATTTAAAACATCTACTTCAGTTGCCCTCAAATTCATCTTCCTTCCAAATTATCCTCATCACAAAAGACCATCTGACCAATGGGAATCAGCAGCCACATAAAACCACGGGCTCCACAGTTTGGTTCCCACAGATCTCGACACAGCCTTTAGTCCATACTGAGAACAAGGGTTCAGACAGGAGTCTCCTCCAAGATCACTTGGACCCCACGACCAGAAGCTCGTTCAAGAGACCAAAAAAGATGAAAACAGCATCTTTAGATCAAAAGAGACATCTTTTCCCCCAATAAAAATCCATCTTACCCTTCATTCCAAATTTGGACCGCCGACCATACTTGTTGATCATGATGAAGAGAACCACCAAAAGGACGCAGGCAAACGCAGCTAGTCCAACCGCGATGGACACCTATGAAGAGCCAAGCACAGCAGGTCAGGGCAGCCATGGAACACCGGAGAGCCCACATGAGAACAGTCCTACTGCAGAGCAACCACAGCCCACTCCGAACTTAGCTACCGAGTAAGGCCCTTAGAAGAAGTATTTTATAACACCCTGTGGTAGCACATGGCTGCCGTTCCAGCCACTCAGCAGGAGGATCACAAGTTCAAGGCCACCTGGGCAACTTGGTGAGACTCTGTCTCAAAATGGAAAGTAAATGCAGGTGGAGATGTAGCTCCGTGATAGAGCAGCCCTGAGTTCCATCTCCAGTACCAAAATAAATAAATAAGTAAATAAAAATAAAAATCATCCATTTTGATTAAAACAATATGAGTCAATATTCTGAAGCCCCTTGCCTGGAGTTCCATTCTAGAGATGCAAAAGAAAGCCTGTAGAAACTTCTGTCTCTTGTTTTAACTGGCAAACCAATTCTATATCTTCATATTTACATTTTTGACATTTTTAACATAATATTCCAATCCAAGAAGGCCTAAGAGATCTGGACCTTGAAGACTCCATTAGACCCTTCCCCAGGGAAATCTCAGACTCTGAGAGAGTGGGACTTGAAAAATCCACCCAAGGAGAGGCCCAAGCAACTCAGACTTCGACTTGTACAGTGATCAGGCCCTGCGAAGGAAAGAAGCCCAGCCAGGATCTGACTGACTGCGCATTTTCAAACCCTTCTCTTCTGACCCCCAGGGCTTGGAGCAGATCCAAAGATCCTCAAACAACGAACTATTCCCATCAAACAAAGAAGGTCTTAAACCACCTAAAAGGAGATCATTTGTCATTGCTTTTTTTCTGCCCTAAATACTAAGGTTCCAAGTAAGTTAATATTTGGAAAAGCAAGTCAAATTAAGTCTGAACATGACTACACCAATAAACACGTTCCCCTTAACCGACAAGCCACTCACCCCAAAGGTGTCTTCCTCTGGTTTGTGGGTCACAGTGATAGGAGGTGTAGGGCTTACTTCAGACTCTGAAAATCAAATACAAAAAGAGAAGGACAGTTAGCTTCCTGGCCCTGGGAGGCCCAGACATAGTCCCTGCCCACCTCCGGGTCCCTCTTGATACTTCCTGTTGGAGAAGGCCCTCTGGAGGCCATGATCCTCCAGGCCTCCCTCCCAGGTTGCAAGAGACCCCCTAAGGGCAGGCCCTGTCTGGCCACCAGGCTGGTGCTCCAGCTGCAGGACAGGCTCCATAGGGGGAAAAGGGCCTTCATTCCCATCTTCTACTTCCACCCCAGAGAAAATACTGTCACCTGTGCATGAACTATGGGATAGAAAAGAGGAAATGACTTGGGATCCAGGCCAGGTTAGGAACTAGGCAGATTTCATCGATGATGGCAGCTGTTCCTAATATTCTTTAACTCCTCGCCGAGGGCATCTCGTACCCCATCCCTGCTTCTCCTGCACCCATCCTCTCTCCCTCATTATTCCTCAGTGAGGTCAGGCCTGTGGTCTCAGAAACAACCCAGTATCCATCTCCCTTACACTGATTTCAGAACACGATGGCAGCTCAACTTGAACAACATAACCACCTGATCGGGAAATACCGCCTTTATCCAGGAAACCTGGATAGGAAGCCTCATATTGGCTTGTCCTCCAGCCAGAACACACACACCCCCGGCAAGAAATGGCCCCAACTCAGAATTCTCTAAAGGGACATCTGTGGGATTACAAGTCCTCAACATCATGTCCATCCACAGGACTGGGATCCTAGTTAGAATAAGACAGGATTCCATGTTTGTATAAATATATCAAAAGAGACTTTTCTGTCAAGTCTAACTAACAAGAACAAATAAAAATGAAAACAAATAAAGAAAAGACTGAGGACAACTAAGAGAATCATAGATGATATTTACATCAGTGCCAAATGGCCAAAAGTATCACTAAACAGGACAGACACTGGGCAGAAGTGGAAATGACTACTATTATTCCCTCAGGCAAAACCTCAAATCCTTTTGGGATTATCTAGCCTTAGTACCAAATCACTTATAAACTGAGCCTCAATTATTCCATTTGGGGACCACATGTATCCATTAGGAGGCCTTGTAAATCACAACTCTACTTGGGGGTGGGTTCTGGTCAAATTCTTGGGCGCTTAAAGCAAGTGAGAACCATTAGTAGGTTTATAAGTTCCATATGGTTTCTGCCAGAAGAATGGAAATTTTGAGGAGGGGTATACCAGGGCACATAAAACCATATGGTCATCCCCTTTTCGTCTAGGTAGGGAGACCCACAACATGACCACACCTTAGAAAACTCCCTGGGGAAAACTGAGGCAATGACCCAAGAAAAATGGGCTTGGAACTGTCCAAGTAAAACTGCACTTCTACTCTCTCGTCCCTTTTCAAAATTCACTCAGATGCCCAGTGCTACTATGGGGCAGGAAATAATGTGAAATAGGACAGAGGACTGTTTGGATTCCATAGATACCAAAACTATCAGAATAAATCATTTCCAAAGCAAAAGGTAAAGCGGACTTACCAAAGTCAAAGATATCTGTGCTCTCTGTGAAAAAGGACAAACAGGTCATTAGCAAACGTAAGACAAAACAGAATAGGCACACCACATCATACTGATAGCTGTGACCTCTCCCACTCCCCATGATCCCCTATTCCCATAACAAGTGACACATGCTAAAATTCCTGACACACCACATGTGCCCTAAGCATGGCACCAACTCTTTACGGAGTGGTCCTCCAATTGGGAGAAGGAATGGGAGGTAAAGCTCCTAGTTCCAAAGGCGGAGACCCACATGGGAACCAGAAACCAAACTGGTTTCGTTATGAGATGGGGATTTAACCCTGATCCACTATCTCACCTATGACCCTTCCTCCTTCAGGATCCAGAGTGTGTGGCCATGGTGTGGCAGGGTGGGGCCAACTGTGATCTCAAATTGAAATTCCTTAAATTGATAAGTGCAGTTGATTCTAGTAGGTCACTGAGAAGTTGGGAGTCCCTCGAGATTCCCATCTAGATTCCATTCTCTAGAATCTGCCCATCCTTCAGATGGAGAGAGTTATTTATTTGAGCATTGGCCTCTAGAAGTGGCTTACCAAATAACGAAAGCTAATCCTAAACTAGGCATTGATTATGAGCCAGAGGCTGTGCTAAGCATTCCAGGTAACATATCACTCAGTCCTTACATCCTTGGAGGTAGGAGGCAACATCTCCACTTAAACAATCAGAGAATGGGTTATAGGGATTAAGTAATAAATTAATGCCATTCATCTAAGAAGGGATTAGAGCTGGATTTATAACTACTCTACCAGAGACATTTAAACTTTAATGTGCAATGGAATCATCTGAAGGGCTACTGCTACCTTTCTTCACAGAAAGGAATGAGTATTCCTTAAAGAAATGAATGATTCAGGGCCAATATAGAGAAAACGCAAGATGGGGCTAGAATAGCTTATAGTACTAGAGAGTGAAAAAGTGCTTGAAGATTAATGGGGACCTAGAGAGAGAGCTGAGAAGGGGGCTTCTAATAGCCAAATGTAGAAAAATAGTAAAAGCCATGGATTATCATGGACTGAATTGTGTCACTCCCACCAAAATCCATGTATTAAAGTTGTAACAGAACTGGGGTGTGGCTCAGTGGTAGAACGCTCGCTTCACATGTGTGAGGCTCTGGGTTCAATTCTCAGCACTGCATATAAATAAATGAATAAAATAAAGATCCGTCAATAGATATATATATATAAGTTGTAACATCCAATACTTAAGAATTTGACTGACTTTTAAGAAGGTACTGGAGATAAAATGAGGTCATCAGTGTGGCCTCTAATTCATCATGACTGGTGTCCTGATGAAAGGAGATTAGGATCCAGACATGCACAGAGGGAGGACAGGGAGAACACGGCACCCACAAGCAAAGATCAGAGGCCTCAAAAGAAACCAACCCTACCAATACTAAATCCAGATTTCTAGCCTCCAGAATTGTGAGAAAATGTATTTTTGTTGTTTAAGCCATTCTGTCTATAGTACGTTACTATGACAAACCTAGAAAATGAATACATAAATTATAAAAATATCTACAAATCCATACAGATACAACAAGTAATTGAATAAATAAATGAGAGAAGAAGGGAAAGCTCTTCCTTATGGTAAAATTCCCAGCTAGTAGACAGAGAAGGAATGATAGAAATAGAAAAATCACCATTTGGCAAGTACTACAGTAATGATTGTTTCAGGCAAGAACCATCAATGAATGCTAAAATTAATGCATAAAAGAATAATGAGAAACAAGCCATTTATGTGGTTTCAAATCATTATCCTTACAAAGGAGAAAAGAGTAACTTTGCAATGGAGGAACCTAGTAGATACCATCTTGACCAAATGATAAAGTCAACATCACTGATGACAAGACATAAACACTGTGCACTCCCTGATACAGTGTACCAGGAGGGCAGAGCGTCACTTCTGTGACGTTTTTCAAAAATGCATAACTTGAATTTAGTCATGAGAAATGAATACAAATTGAGGGACATAGTCTAAAAAATATTGAGTATTCTACAAGGGTGCGAAGACAGTGTACGATAAAGACTGGGGAACTGTCTCAGGCTTAGAAATACTAAGGTAAAGTAGAAATAAAAGCAAGATATGATTCTGAATTGGATCCCAGGTGACAAAAGAATGTCAGTGGGACAAGTGATAAGATTTAATTCAAGCTGGACTGGGTGTGGTAGGGCATGTTTGTGATACAAGCAACTTGGGAGGCTGAAGCAGGAGAATTTCATGTTGGAGGCCAGCCTCAGCAACTTCACAAGACCCTGTCTTGAAATATAAAATTAAAAGGGGCTGGATAAGCAGTGGTATGTACCCCTGGGTTCAATCCCCAATACCAAAAAATAAATAAAAATAGACAGAAACACCCCCAGAATTTCTGATACGTAGGTCAGGGTGGGTCTCAAGAATTTGCATTTCTTTCTTTTTTTAATTAGACAATATGATTGATGTATGTAAATTCCATGTATGTATTATATGTCAAAATGCATTCTACTGTCATGTGTGACTAAAAAATAAATAAATAAAAATTTTTAAAAAAAGAATTTGCATTTCTAACCAGTTCTCAGAGATGCTGATGCTACATTAAACTACACCTCTGCCTGCCACACCCTGAAAAACAAGAGCAATTCATTCATTCACTCATGTATGCATTCACTGTGGGTCTTCTGCTCACCAGACCTTTGGCTAAGGCGGAACGGCCACGTAACCCTAGATCTATTACGTATCTAACTACCTGTGGGGATGGGATGCTTTGTGTGATGGAGTCCTTCAGAGAAGGTCCTATTAACACTGTCATTTGATGGCTTGTTTGTTGTCTGCTGCGTTGTCACAGGGGACAGCAACAGAGCTTTCTCCAAACACCTGAACATACCCCTTCACGTCACCACTCCCTCCTCAACTGCAGATGGCCTGACTTGAGGAGAGGATGGTTGAGATGGGCCCCGGCTTCAGAGCCTGAGCTGAGAGAGGGGCCAGATCCATTTGCAGAAGCTATTAATTTGCAAATTTCTCATAAGGCTCCCATTTATTAGAGAACATTCTCATGTCAGCCAAATGTTTTGGCTGAATCTCTTAACCCTGTAATCTCCAAATCAGCTTATGAACATCAAAGTCCTCTGCTGGAGCCTGGAAGGGTTTATACATTCAGGAACCTCTGGAAGAGGGAGACTTAGGCTGCTCTCTAACCTGTGGGAGGGACTCCGAAGTACATAGCAGAGGATGGTCCCATGAAGGCCCCTGCACTCTGAGCCCCACCAATAGGCCAGGAGGAGGACTGGACCAGCATGCCTAGCACCACAGGAACGCCAACTGGGCTGCACAAAGAATGGAATGCATATGCCTCCTACAGCCCAGACATTAACTCCCCAAGAAGTCAAGGATTCATCTGCACCACAACCTTAGAGAGAGAAGTGCAGAGACAAGTAATTTGCCTGAAGTCACACAGCTAAGGAGTGATGGAGTGAGTTTGAACCCAGCAGGTGGCTGCATAACCATCACCCTAGACTGTCTGAAGTCTATTAGAATCTGCTAGTTTTTTTGGTTTTGATTTTATTCATATTTTTTTTTGTTTTAGTTGGTTTTGCTTTTACAGTACTGGACACTGAACCTAGAGGTGCTCTACCACAGAGCTAATGTCCAACCCTTTATTATTTATTTATTTTTTCCAAGACAGTCTCACTAAGTTGCTCAGGCTGGCCTGGAACTTGTGATCCTCCTGCCTCAGCCTCCCGAAGTAAATGGGATTACAGGCATTCACCACCATGCCCAGCCAGGACTTACTGGATCCACCAGAGATTGACAATTGGTTCTAAATGTCTGAATTCACCTTATAAATCTAGCAATGGCCAACAGCAACTAAGTCTTTTCTCTGTGCAGACATACTGCTGAGCCCTTGCATCTATGACTTCATTTAATCCTCATGACAACTTAGGTGGGGGTGGGGGGGTATTGTGATCATTCCCATTTCACAGATGAAGAAACAGAAGCATAAGGTACCGACCATGGACTAAGCCCCATTCTAAGATCCCAGGCCACCTGTCTGGGAGGACCACAGATGGGATGTGCAACTAAATCAGGCTGATTTTAGAGCCCTTACTCTTAACCTTGACGCTTGGATGCCCAGAAGCAAGGGAGAGGTACTTATGGTAAATAAGATCTTCTCCACACCCTCCTGTCAGGAGGGAAGAGCAGGGATCTGCAGACTGGCTTTGTATCTAGTGCTCAGCCAGCGTAAGGTTTATTTGAGAGGGTTATATGGTATCCTTGCCTGTTCCCCCAGATAATTTACTCTTCTGAACATTTAGACATCTTGTCACTTGACATGACTGGCCCATCTCTTCCCTGTCATTACCTTTTCATCATCCATTGATTCCTTTAACATAAAGTCTCATAAAACAAGCAACCTCCACACAGCGTGGTCCTGGCAGAGTGTGGATGGGGCTGAGAAACACACCTCAGGTGAACTGCCTTCTCTCTGAGCTTGTGAGTGGCTCCATCCTTCGCCTCCCTCTTGGAGCCAGATTCTCACTAAATGCCACAGCAGCAGATTGCACCCAGTCACCTGGAGGCTTGATGAAGTACAGCTGTGGGACCCTGACCCAGAGTTTCTGATTTAGAAGAACTGAGGGGGTTTGACCATTTCAATTTTAATCCATTCCCAGGTGATGCTGGGGCTGCTGGTCTGGGGACCACACTTTGAAAACCACTGGCCTGAGGAGTCTTTGTAGCTGGCTGTGGTGATGAGGGCATCCAGGGACTAGGAGATGGGCTGCTTCAGCTTGTGAGGCATCAGGGAGTGTAAATGCTGCTTTCAAATATCAGAATTCAATCTCTAATGAGGTGGGTACAGGGGGAGCAAAGGACTGGGTCTAGCCTGATTTTATGACCTTGAGAGCACATTTGAAAGCCTCTACTTCTACAATACAGGCTAGGATCCTTCTCCCTGAAGGAGCCAAGCATGGTCCTAAATAGGAATTGTCTTGAGGTTTCTTACAGGGCCTGCTGGAGATGATGCTGGAAATGTCAGACCACGTGAGATTTGCAGCGCCTAAAACATCAGCATGCTCTCAATCTTCTCTGCAAAGATGGCTCCCTCAAACCCTGGACACCAGTGGCAAAAATTTAGCTTTGCTTGTGGCCTTCAGCTGCCCAGCTTCACTCTAATCCCAATTCCCTTGTCCTGAGATAAATAAGCCTCCCAGAGCCACGGCCCTGTAGCTATCTACAGACCAAGAAGTTACCTTCATGAAAGCAGAGGCGCTGCTGACCAGCAAACAGAAAGAGGAGCCAAATTCTGTGACATGTGCTCTGTATAACTGAACTCATTTAAAAGCCACAAAATGCCAGATGTGGTGGCACATCCCTGTAATCCCAGCAACTCAGGAGGCTGAGGTAGAAGGACTAGAAGTTTGAAGCAAACCTGGACAACGTAGGAAGACCCTGCCTCAAAAAAATAAAAGGGCCGAGGATGTAGCTCAGTAGTAGAGCACCCCTGGGTTCAATCCTCAATACCACCAAGAAAGTAATTAATTAAATAAATAATACAACAATAAAAGCCACAAGACCCTTACAGGAGCAGTATCATCATGCCCATTTCACAGTTGAGAAAATCAAGGATTAGAAAACTACCAGGTCCAGGATCTCCCAACAAATAAAGGGCTGGGGGGAAATTCTCCACCATTATTGACCATCTCTGAAGTCCTGCTCTCTCTGCTGTAACACAGTACGCTCTTAGATGGACAACCATGTATTTCTGAGATGTCTTAGATTTTACTCGGAGAGGTTTTGGAAAATAGGGACTTCATCCTAGCTTATACAAAACGCAGAGGGTGGCTGGTACCTGTGCCCCGGTGTGTTTGGTTACCTGCGATAACTATACGAAGATGAGTGACTCTTCTCCTCTCAAACTACCACCCGACCCCCAATTCCCAGAGGGAACCTGTGCACCCCCAGGGCCAGCTGGGCTGCCTGCCCTCACCTGGAAAGGGCTCCTTGAGGAAGTGTCCATTGATGGTCTGGTTGGCCGTGCCCAGGGGGTTTTTAGCAATAAGGGTGTAGTTGCCGTTGTTGTAGTGGGTGGGCTTGTTGAAGAGCAGGCAGCCCTCGGAGACCTCGCCCTCCTGGTAGTACTCCACGTGGATGATCTTGGACTCCCGCAGCGGCTGCCCGTTGTGCAGCCAGTGCAGCGTTGGCGGCGGGTTCCCGCGCACCACGAACTCGATGCAATGCTCCAGGCGCAGCTCGGGCTCCTCCAGGCTCACCACGCGTGGGGGGTCTGTGGGGGAAGAGGCCAGCTGAAATCCTGGACACCGGGACTCCTGGGTCCCAGAGCAGCCTTCCAGCAGCTGAGATGGGATCCCCGTTCTCCCCCACCCAGCTCTGAAAAGACAGAGAGAAGCAGAATCCCACCGCCCCCCATCCAGGCTTCCTGGATCTATCTGAACTGCACGAGTCCCTCTCAGGGCATTTTAGGGGTTCAACCAAAGATGGAAAAGGCCAGCTCAGGAGTGTCCTGAAGATGTAGTTGAACTGGAAGCACAGCATCTTCTGAGGGCAAGGATACCCTTTCTTGGGTTTACTATATAAGAACTTCTTTCATTTTATTTATTTTTGGTGTTGGGGATTGAACCCAGGGACTCTATCATTGAGCTACATCCCCAGCCCTTTTTAATTTTTATTTTGAGACAGAGTCTCACTAAGTTGTTGAGGCTGGCCTCAAACTTGTGATCCTCCTACCTCAGCCTTGCACATTTCTGGAATGACGGGTGTGTGCCATTGCAGCCTGCATTCAAGCAATTACTTCTCAGTCCTGCCCTATGAAAGCTTTTCTGCCTGTGATGGTAGCCCAGGGTCACTGCTCTCCCTCAGTTCTAGCAATGTCTCTGCCCCTCCCCAGACTCTGCACCAGCACCCTCTTAGTACCCAGCCACCCTGCCTGCACTTACAGTAGACGGTGAGGGCAACACTGGCATTGCTCATGCCCACCACATTCTCTGCAATGCATGTCAGGGTGAAGCCATTGTCCTCGCTCGTCACATTCACCAGTGTCAAGTTGATGGCATGAACATTGGTCCAATTCAGATTCGTCTGAAAACCCAAATAAAAAGACAAAAATCAGTTTCTACAAGGGCATTCTCCTCCCTAACCCTGGACATCTTCTGGATTCGAGAGGAAGGCACAACAGGTAGAGAAGAAGGTATCCTGGTGAAAGAACACTGACCAAATGCCAAGCTCTTCATGGTCAATAACTGTCCTCCCATTAACGTTATGTTTTGAATATTAGCATTATACCCATTTCACAGGTGAAGAAACTAAGGTACCGAGAGGTTGATAGTATGCATAAGGTCAAAATGGCTAGAAAATATTTCAGCTAGATGGAATCCAAGTCCACATTTCTTCCTATAATGACAGAACCACAAGCTTTCCCTCTTTATGACTAACAGGTTCCTTAGCACCCCAATGGGTGCTGATGCCAGGACGCCTACCTGGTGGGTGTTGATGGACTGCAGCCCTGTGACTATCCAGTCCACATCAGGCAAGGGCGATCCAGAGCCGTTGCAAGTGATGACAGCATTGTCACCCTCTCGGACAGTAAGGTTGACATGGCTCACGCTGATCTCAGGAAGGTCTAGGAGCAAAGCAGATAACAGATGGGGTGACAAGACAGGTGAACACCCCCCAAAAGAAGCTCTCTCCGTGGGGCTGATGGTGGCACTTATCGCCTTGACCCACAACAACGCCAACACCGTTTGTTTGAGTTCTTGGAAGACCTTCCCAAAACTCCAGATGCTTTACACCCCCTTCCCAGTAGACATCAGGGCTCAGAGTTGAAGCCCATACAGTTGTTTGCTCCCCGCATCAGGGCACGGAAGGGGCAGCTGCCCAAGGAACGCATTTTAACAACTCAACCCAATGGCTCCGTTCTACTTAGGGAACTGCGACTCACAAAATCGGTGTGCTTGGTCACCACAGGGAACCATCTAGAAATTCAGACTTCTGGAACCTATCCCTACACATGGTGAACTCAAAGGTCTGTGGTTGGGCCCAGAAATTGGCTTTTCTCAAAGCACCTTAGAAACTTCCTATAGAGGCAGTCTGGACACCACACTTTGAGACATGCACCTTCAGATTGGGTTGACAAGAAAGGGCATTCTGATCGGATGAGAAAAGCAGGGCATGGAACTCCTGTCTGCATTCCTGTAACCCACCTTCCCTGGGGGCTCGGGGATGGGAAGGACCCAGGAGGGAGAAGGCGAGTCGGATCTGCACCCGACTGCAGAGGTCGAGGCTGGAAGAAGGCCCTGGCGTGCCAGGCCAAGGTCCAGCCCCTTCCCAGGGACCCAGGAGCGCCTCCAGGAGCGGGGCTGGGGCCAGGCTCTCACTCACCACACTGACTGATGTTCATGCGGAAGAGGGGGAGCTGGGAGCCGTCGGCGTTGATGCAGTAGAGATTCTGGCTGTTGAGCCTGGCCTCCCCCTGCTCCTGCCACAGCTGCATCCAGCGGATGTCGCAGCTGCAGTTGAAGAAGTTCTGCTCCAGTCTCCTGTGGGCAAGAAGAGAGGGGAAGGAACCCCTGAACCGAAGATGGCCCAGCTCCCTCCCACACTGAGGCCCCCAGGGCCCCCACCAGCTCTTTTGGGGGATCAGGGAGAGAAGGAATTAAGCCAGCTCATAAAAGAAGAAAGAAAAGACGGAAGAATATAACTTATAAGTCCATGAATTTATTTAGTTTTAAAACCAATAAACTCATTTTTTTTCTAACAAATGACACCCATCTCACTTAATGCACCTAAAAGAAAAAAAAAAAAAAAGAACCTTTAAAATGCATCAGGATGGGATGCTCCTATGGCTTCCCATCTCAGTGAAAGTCAAAGACAAAGCCCCGCGTAGCCTGCACCATCTCCATCATCTTTCTCATGTTACCTCCTACCTATCTTTCCCTCTCCTCTCTATTCACCCCGAACTTGCCGTTGCCAAGTTCACTAGCATGCATGACTGGGTCATTCCCGCCTCAGGACCGTTGTCCTTGCTGTCACCTCAGCCTGCTAACCTCACTCCCTCACTTTGAGGGATCATAGAACTTTCTACGACCACCCTCTGTACAAAAACCACTGCCAACCCCTGTGATGGTAATGCCCAGGCCTCGCCCTGCTGTGTTCTTCTTTCTAGAATTTACCATCACCCAGCATCCCTTTAAATATTTATTTCATTGTGTGTGTATGCGTGTGTGTGTGTGTGTGTGTGTGTGTGTGTTTCTATCTCCCCAAAGAAAAATTAAGTGACATCAAGATCACAGATGCAGTCCGTTTTGTTCACTGCTGTATGCATGCAGTACCTAAAACGGAGCTTCACACATAAATTCTTGTGAATAAAAGGAGAAATAAAGAGAACTTTTCCCTGAGGGAATAGGTGGTTAGCTATTTCCAAGACATACTCAAAGCCCATCTTGGGACCAGCTTTATTTCTTCATGAATTCAATGGCTCGTTAATAAGCACCTGTTCCAGATCTGCCCGTGGGTTGAATGCTGTTAATACAGAGACCAATGAGACAGTCCCTGCACTGGGCCCCGTGAAGAAGAATGTCTGATGGGGGAAGGGTCAAGTTCAAAGTCCTTCCTCTCCATGATCTGCCTTGTGACTTGGAGAAAGTCACATCCTCCTCCACGGGGTTATTAGGAAAATGAACGGCATTAATCAATCCCAAAACTCTTAAAGTAAAGAGCACCCGGCAAGTCTGATCATTATGAGGAACATGATTCTCTGGACTGTGAAGGGGATCAATCTGTTGGTGCCCAGAGGGAGGGCACTTGGGTCACTGCACTAAAACCCTGGTTATTTTTGACAACTGGCAAATTCCAAAATAGTTAAGCATGCATCAGCATTAATCAGATTTCAGGGGAAAGTGACGCCCCTGCGGAGAGAAATCAGTGTTTTGAAGGCACCAGGACACTTCAGGTAGAAGACAAATACCCCTACAGGACAGTGTCCTCTTCACCTAAAAATGTCCATGACTTCTCTCTGCACAGGGCACTCTCTCCGGGGTGGGGGGGCAGAAAAGGAAAGGGAATTAGCCGCCTTTACTGAACTTCTGCTTCTCACATCTTCTAGGAGATGGCCAGGATCACCCCCAGACAGAAGAGGGTGCCTATCTAATGTTTGGAGCGGGTAAGTCACCTGTCACAGCCCCTCCACTGGTATGGAAGAGCTGTCTCAAACCGCAGTCTGTCGAACTCCAAAACCCATGCCCTGGCCACCCCACCTACCCAATGCAGAGCATGGCAGGGCTGAATGCAGCTGCCAAGGGGAGTAAGAGAGGACCCTGACTTCAGGCGCTCCTGGAGGTAGAGACGGGGGGGAAGGGTTGGCTGGGGGGAAGCCGTGAAGGCAGAGGGAATATTGCTGGTGGGGATGTGGACAGGAAAGCGAGACTTAGCCAAGGAGCACTGGGAAATAAAGCTGGAAGGGTGAATGGAAGCCAGGTGGTGGAGGAATTCCACCCACATCAGGAAGCATGCATCCAGGTACATCCAGAATGTATCCAGGAGACAGTGGGAAACCAATAAGGCCCTTACAACTAGAGGACAAATAAATAAAGTAACCCTGTAAAAGAGCAAGCCAGCGAGACTGTACACAATAAACCAGAGAGGGGGTGGGCTAGACACGGGATATCTCATAAACACAGGGTCACCATGTACCGTTGGTAGTTTGTGCATTTCTCAAAGAATCCAAACAAAGCAATGAAGAGGGAATGAAATCCAGAACCTGGGCTCTGACATGGGGCCGTGTTCACCCAGAGGGGCCATCTTTCTAACTCACACCAGGGCATTCTGCAGTCTAGTCGGGCCCAGCCCATCATTCTCAAACTTCTGGTTTCAGAACTCCTATTGACTTAAAATTTTTCTGAAGACCTCAAACAGCTCTTTTATGTGGGTTATGTTTCTCGCAATTTACCAAATTGGAAAATAAAACGGAGAAAGTTTAAAACAGCAGAATATATTAGCACAAGTTCCATGGCAATGAGGTCATCCCATGTCCTTCAGTCGCTGAGAAACGCCACTGTACCCTCCTGGGATAGTGAGAGAAAGGTCAATGATGTGCCGGGGTTGTTAGGATAGATCTGACCTTGCATTCTCCCTGAAGGGGTCTTGAGAGGCCCCAGGTGGTCCTGGGATCACCAGGTGGGAACTGTCACCCAGTAAATAAGGGCCGAGAGTTAAGTGGCAGAAACTGGGGAGAGGGAAGGGTGGATCCCACAAACATCCAAAGGAAGATGAGGCACCATCTGGCACTTAGTTGGGAGGAAGAAGAAAAGAAAAAGTAGAATACGAGATTTTAAGCTCCAGGGGAACAGGAAGTCAATGGTGAGGAGAACTGTCTTTGGTTGGAAGCAGAAGAGAAGGAATCAGTAGAAAAGAAGAGGTGAGAACTATTAGGAATGGGGAGGCGGGGGTGATCACCAGTCCCTTGGGGAGGTAAAGGAAGGATGAGCCAGACCCAGTGGCACATGCCTGTGACTAGGGAGGCTGAGGCAGGAGGATTGCCAGTTGGAGGTGAGCCGCAGCAACTTAGCAAGACCCTATCTCAAAAGAACAATAAAAAGGGCTGGGGATGTAGCTCAATGGAAAAGCATTCCTGGGTTCAATCCCCAGTATCACAAAAAAAAGGAAAGGAGAAGGGGTATGGGGGAAACAGGGGGAAGAGGAAGAAGAGGAAAAGAAAGAGGAGGAGGAGAGAAGAAGTAGCCTTGGAAGTGTTTGCTTTAGAGTTAAGCAAAATGCCTACATGGCTAGAACAGGAATAAAGAAGAAAGACAAAGTAGGAAGAAAGTGACAGAGAAATAATAGAAATTATAGGATAACAATGGATCACAGGTGCAATAGGGCCGGTGCTATACCAAAAGTCTTCTCTTTTTTTTTTTTTTTTTTTTTTTGATATCAGAGATTGAACCAGGGGTTTTAACCATTGAGTCATATCCCCTCACTCTTTTTTATTTTTTATTGTGTAGCAGGGTCTTGCTAAGTTGCTTAGGGCCTTGCCATGTTGCTGAGGCTGGCTTTGAACTTGCAATCCTCCTGCCTCAGTCTCCTGAGTCTCTGGAATTACAGCTATGTGCCACTGTGTCCAGCTCTACCAAAAGTCTTACACAAATTCTTTTAATTAACCCTCACAAGGAGGAAGCCCAGGGAGGAAGGGGAGGTCTAGTGGCTTCCTTAAGAAAGCAGAAAGTCAAATGTGCCACCTGGTGCGTGTGCAAACAGAGACCTGAGGAGCTGGAGTGGCTTGGATGCCCACTGCAGGGCTGCAGAGAGCCTGGCCACCCTGCTGGATGACACAAAGGCTCCAGATGCTTGAATATGTGCAAATTGAACCAGGTCAGCCTTGTTTTTCCCAGCTGCTCACTTGACAAGATGTGGTCATTCATTATTAAGTAGGTGTAAAAATACAAATTATCCACCTGGGTTGAAAAGACCAGACAAGCGAGGGGCTTGGCAGCGTCGCCTGCAGCCCCAGCAGTGCCTGCTGCAGTCCTGCCTCTTGTGGGAGCCTGGCGCTGCAACACGTCCCAACTTCTCAGTGGCTCCCAAGGTGGACATGAGTACACTGTGGCACCCTGGGCATCCCACATGCCAAGTGTCCTGAGGCTGGCAGGAGAATTCAGTGAGATGTTTGGGATGTGCCAAGGCTGCTGCCAGGGATAGGCTCAGTAATGGCCCTTGTTTTCTTCCACTCTTTCCCTCCAGGACCCTGCTTACAGGATCTGGTCCAGCCGAAAGGCTAGACTTTGAGATCTGGTTCTTCACTATAATCCAGAGTCTCCTAGAAACTGCAAAAGAATTTTGGGAGCCTCTTCCTCGTCTTTCTGGACTTTCTTGTTTTATTTATTTATTTTTTAATGTGGTACTGGGCATTGAACCCAGGGTGCTCTAACCCTGAGCTACTTCCCCCATCCTTTGTTTTTTTCTTTGTTTGTTTGGAGACACTGTGTTGCTAAATTGCCTCCACTGGCCTTGAACTGGCAATCATCCTGCCTCAGCCTCTCAAGCAGTTGGGATTACAGGAATGTGTCACTGTACCTGGCTTAGATTTTCCTCTTAGAGAACAAAACTCATACCTAGTACAAAGCATTTTGAGTCCTAAAACAGTGGCCCCCTGGTCATTCCACTGAGCCAATCTGCAGTCGTTTTTATATCCTGAGAAGAGTCTGCACAGTGAGGTGGGCAAGAAGAGATGCACATGCCCTGGATCTAAATGATGCTGTCCATTCTGGTGCTCTTTTCCCGTCAAACCAGGCGTGGGGCGGAGACTCCTTTAACCAGGGATTCAGAGGCAGATCTGCAGAACCTATAGCATGGCTCTCTGCATTCCATTAGCAATGTGGGTGACCCAGGACCTGATCAAGCACCTGGGGGCTTCCCACCCTTTAAATCAGCCCCATCCAGATGGACATGAGTACACAAGCGCTTTGCAGCAGAGCTGAGGCCAGGACTGGGTGTTTAGAAAACACTGATTTCCCCATCATTGCTTGGGAAATTTGCTTCTCCCTTCCAAAGTATTAGCACTGCTAATGGCAATCCTGGGGCCAGGTGGTGGAAAATGGGGAGGGTACCCAATCGATAAGGGCAGCACCACTGTCACACAGTGTGGGCCTCCTTAAGGTAACAACAATCAGATGGCAGAAAAAGTACACAGACAGAAGATCTGAGTTGGTCATCAGCTGTGTCACTTTGAGCAAATACAATGGGTTGGATTATGTCCTCTAAAAAGATATGTCCAGGTCCTAACCTTAGTCCCTGTGAATGTGACTTTCTTTGGAAATTCAGCCTTTGCAGATGTGATCAAGTTAAAGATCAAAGGATGAGGTGGCTCTGGATTTCTGGTGGACACTGAACTCCCAGCCCAGAGAGGGAGATGACAGACAAGGAGATGGGGATGTTAGCCATGTGAGATGGAGGCGGAGACCAAAGAAATGCAGTAGGCAAAGAGTTCCAGGAGCACCAGAGGCTGGGCAAGGCAGAGAAGAATTCTCCCCTAAAGACTTTGAAGAGAGGGTGGCTCTGCTGACACCCTGACTTCAGACTGCTGGCCTCCAGAACACTGAAATAATAATTTTCTGTTGTTGTAAAGCACCAAGTTTGAAGTCATTTGTTATGGTCACCCTAGGAAACTAAGAGTGTGAGTAACTTAATTCTCCAAAACTCAGTCTTAACATCTGTAAGACAGTGATGATTGTATTTAACATTCCTTCTCTATAGAGTTATTGAGAGAATTGCATTCACATGCTCCATGAATTACAAGGGGGCTATAATAAAGCAGAAATTGTTATTATAGCAATACTGTTATTAATGTGATTGTTTAGTGACTTCTTCAGGAGCTTTCAAAGTGGTTATGGCCAAAAAAGGGAAAAGGAACGTGCCAGAATAAGCCCAAACTCATCGCTGATACTGAGTTAATATTTTACCAAGTCGATTAAATCTGCAAATCATACCAGAGGTAATTATCACTTTGCTTTAAGAAAATGAAATATTCCAATCTATTTTAATCATGTCTGCTCTGTGCGTGCAGAGTATTAAGAGAAGATGCATTAATGGTCCTCAGGGTATTTCTGGAGGGTTTCCGTGCTGTGGGTTGATATCCTCCAGTGCCTCTGCCATTGCCTAGATGGTATCATGGGATTCAGAATCCAAGCTTCTTTTCTTTCTAATTCATTCTTTATCTCTAAGACAATCTGTCCAATTCTTGCTCTGATTTTTAGACAAACAGTTCCAGTCTTCTCTGTCAGGAGAAAAAAAAAAAACAGAAAAACCATCTTGCCATAACCAGAAGCCTCTGAGAGCACAGCGCCATGCCAAGATGAATTCCTTTAAAGCTGGAAACAGTGTTGGCTGCTCCAAAGCAAGTCTTGAAAGATGCCCCCATTTGGCTCCACGAGAGGAACCCCACCTGGGGCTGGGGATATAGCTCAGTTGGTAGAGTGCTTGGCTTGCATGCACAAGGCCCTAGGTTCAATTCCCAGAACCACCAAAGGAAAAAAGAGAGAGAGAGAGAGAGAAAGGAACCCCACCTGGACTGGTGAGAGGCTATATGCCAGATGCTCCCTAAGACCATGCCTTGTCTCCCAAAAGTGGGTGACAGAAAGTAAAGGCAGGATCTTGGTATATGGCAAGATGGCCACCCTGTGATGTCACTCAGAGGGGAGGCTGTCATCTTAATGAGGCTTATGGAAAGACCCTGAGCACACTGGACATGTTGCTGAGTGGGTAAGGGAAAGAGCATGGTTCTTTGGAAACAGCTGTCCCAGCTGGTGATAATTCCAGAAATCATAACACTAATTCCTAGATTACCATGCACCAGCTCTGTGATCCTGGGATGCCTGTTCAACTTGGGCAGCCTCAAATCCCTCATTTGTAAAACTTGCTACACTGATACTGCCTTTGAGGATTTGTTCCAAGGATGAGTTGGAACCTTGTACACCTTAGGTGCTTAATATGTGCCTCTTCCTTCTCATATCCCACTGGAAGCAGGACCCTAGGCAGTAGACACTCAGTCTTTTCAGTAGAAAGGCTCAGCACATCAAATTGTCAAGCAAGGAAGAGGCTGGTTGGGGGCACAGCAGAGCTCCTCCAGAGACCCTCTGTGAAATTGCCAAGGACCTGCTTGTCCTTCTGTAGCTGCAGACCATCACTGAAGCCTTGTTCTTGTGGCTGAAGACTTTCCCAGCTGCCACAGCACGCTGAGCCCTCTGTCCCCCAAGGCCAAAATGGTTTCTTCCTGAAAACACCAACCCATCTCCACACCCCAAGCCTCAGGAGGCATCAGCAGACCCTGGCAGTTTACATGGCTCGTGGCAGATGGTGCCATGTGGACTAATCAAGAAGTCGGACAAGAAAATACTACCCTCTCTTCTGTTTGCCAGGAAGGGGGATTGTTTGGATTTTAATCATAGCCAAAGCTAAGAGCCAATGCACGGCCTCCTCCAGCCAAAAAAGATAAATTTTCCACTCTCAACATTCAATTCTTCCTCAAAAAATAGACCCCAACCAGGGCAATAGCTCCGTGGAGGGGGGCTTCTTTATCCTCCAATATGATTTTTCCTTATTTAACAATATGACAGGAATAAAATGCTCCATGGACACAGTGGCACTCACACGCTGACTCACACTGGAAGGAATGTCTTCATTCCCCCATAAGTTACATCCAGCTCACAGGAGTATTGATCCCAGGCAAAGATGAATGCAGAATCCCATGATCCTCTGGGAGAAATCTGACATTTTCTTTAAATATATACCCATGCAACAACTGTTTCTAAATCTCCACAAAACAGGTCACCAGGGCACCACACCATTGATTTCAAATCCAACGATTTCTTAGAAAGAGCTCTGAACATTTTCTCAATAATTCAGCCAACAGCAGACTCCAGATGTCCCCCCAGAGGGACACTGTCCCTGGCCTCCCCTAGACAAAGGGATAGACATCACTGGATAACTAGATTCAAGGCTCTCCCAGGAAAGACAGCCCCCAGAGGCCCCTATCAATTCAAGGGCAACTTGGGAAAGATCCACAACCATGCACTTTTTGAAAATTAGCATAGGAAAGAGTCTTGCATTGGAAACAGATCGAATAAAGCTGGGAGGTCATAGAGCACAGGGGTCAAAACTTTGAGCCTACACTCTACCTCTTTTTTACTGGATGACCTTGAACAAGATACTTAACCTTGCTAAGCATGTCAGTGTCCTCAAATGTTAAGTGATAGTAATTATTCCTACCATACAGAATTCTTATAAGGATTAAATTAAATAATATGCATAATTTAACAGATTACTGCTTGGCATGAAGGAAGAGCCCAGAAATCAGTGTCAGTGGTAGTCAGGTTAATTCACCTCTGAGATCTTTTCCACCTACAAAGATGTGAATGAATTTGTCACATGGAGTATAACAGTCTGGCATCTATGTGTCTGTGATGTGGTCTATTTTTTGTTGTTGTTGTTGTTGTTGTTTTATAAACAAATACATATATGTATTTATTTCTCTCTCAGCTTGAGTAGGAGTTTTATTGGTGTCCATCTAGAGCTGTGCCAGAGGAGACTAACGACTCTGATCACCATGTCTATGCTACCTCCACCAGAGGTGGGAGGGGCACAGTTCTAAGAGAGGAAGGCAACCCACAGCACATTGTCCTAAACTCTGCAACACCTTTTTTTTTTTTTTAGTACTGAGGATTGAACTGAGATGCTCTATCACTGAGCCACATCCCTAGCCCTTTTTGTTTATCATTTTCATTTTAAGACAAGATCCCACTAAGTTGAAGAGGCTGACCTCAAACTTGCAATGCTCCTGTCTCGGCCTCTTGAATGGCTAGGATTACAGGCAAGTGTCAGAGCACCCAGTTCCACACTTTTAAAGAGACAACCTCGGTACATCCTATGCCTTTTGAAGCACCATATGTTCAGGGAGACCCATGAAGACAAGGACAGTCCACAAAATTGTCATGGGATGAAAGGCTCTTGGGACACTGGATGTAAATATTCTCCTTCCTGCCATGAGCTCAGGTCTCGCCAGTGAGAACAAGTCGAAAAACCAAGAGCCTAGGCAGAAGTCCAAGGTCATTGCTGCTTGGTAAAGACAGTAAAGCAATCCGCATTCTGTGAATTTGGGTCTGAGTCACCAAGTAAATGGGAAAACATGAGTGGCGTGTCTGGAACTCTGACTCCCTAACTTCATCCATGCCTCAATTCCTCTTCAATTTATTCCTTGATTTATTCCCTTAACATAATATGCTGTCCTTCATGCACAGAGATGACCCTGATGACTCACACATCAACATGAGTTATTTTTTCCAGCAGTGGTCACGAATTTTCACTCATCAAGCTAACATTTGTGTGCACAAAATGGCTGGCCTGTGACAGGCTGCACTGATCAGCTCTGGGATGCAGCAAGGCTGAGCTGTCCCCTCCTGGGGTGCCTATATAAGCTGATGGGAAATCATGAGTAGTGGAAAGGAGGTGCACTCTGAGTCAGGCCACGGGGGCTCAATTCTGGCTCTGCTGGTCCTTATACAATGCAATTGAGGTTGAACCTTGGATGCATCTCTAGGGATCAGCGTTCTCACCCATGACTGGCAGAGAATAATACCTACCTCCTATGATTCTCGTGATGCTCAATCGAAGGTCATGTTAATAAAAGTGTACCTGATAATTCATAAAGTTATGCATCACAAATGTTATTTACTATGAATTGATGCTCTCTTATCATTAATACTAAAGCTATTATTACTAATCACCTGTAGATCATAAAACTAAATCCTGATAGGAAATGAGATTCTGTCTTCTGAAATGGATTATGCTCAGGGCATGAGAAATGGAGCAACGGGGCTTCCTGAATTGACTCTCCCTGAACTCTCTGCATGATCCCACCAGCAGCCCTCTCAGGTGTACACACAGCCTTCAGGTAGCTCCCCACCCAACCAGTATCACCACTTCACCGCCTGCACCAGTCTCAAAACCGAACTTACAGTTCCCGAAGACTCAGCGTCTGGAAGAGCTGCCACGAGAGTGTGGTGAGGCGGTTGCTCGACAGGTTTCTGCAAGATTGGCAAAACAAAGAGGAAGTTAAAGGACAGATCTGCCATTAGTCAGGCGTGAGTTTGGTCATTTCGCTGGAGCCCAGCTTTGTTTTTCCTCTTTTGCTTTCTTCAACTCTACTAAAGATATATTTGCTAATAGTTGAGGTCACAGATCAGGTTTGGATAGAATTCAGAAGACTTTTAAAAGACAAGGTTTTACCAATCAAAGAAATAATAGGTCATTCTCCCAAACCCTCTCTCCATAATAAAAGTACATGCCTGTCGGAAGCCACCCTCCGCTAGGAGCCCAGAGAGCTCTGAGCCCAGGTGTGTTCTTAACAGTCACCCAGGTCAATAAACTCTTCAAGTCACCTACAATCCTCCCAGCCCATCCCTCCCCCTGCAAACAGGCACATCCGTGAGATCAAGACATCAGCCTTTTGTTCACATGTCTGTTCTCCTCCTAATGGCTATTTAATTGTTCTCATTAGGATGTACAGGGGGAAGGAGCAGCCATTAGTCTTCTGAATAAAAGAAAAAACACGCCCACGGTTATTACTTTGCCAGGCTCAACAAACAACTTTTGATGTGATAACAGCCCTTACAGGCAGCGTTAGACACTGCTAGAACTGAAGTGGCACCTGAGGAACAATGTACTCATCTACTGATGGGGCGGATGGTGATGCTGATCCCATTTAGGTAAATACACACACACACACACACACACACACACACACACACACACAGACACGCATGGATTTGTGCCTATGAAACATGAAGGTGATGAAAGCAAACACAGACTTTATTATAAACACACACGTGCTTACACATGCACCTGTATTTAGATGACTTTCAGAGCACATACTTATGGAAAGTCAACACGGGCTGCACTGAGGGTGAGGGTGCTGGCCACTGAGGGAAAAGATGAGGTCACTCCGGAGCCCCGAGTTCAAGGTACAAATGAATGAGGAGAAGGAAGAGCATAAATCAGGTAATGGACCTAACCGATGTGGAAGAGGGAGAAGGCTACTTCAGACAGGTGCTCTCAGATGACCCTCCTGACAAGGTGACAGAAGACCTGAGTCGAGAGGAGAAGGAGGTGAGCACCAGGGAGAAGTGTTTGGGGCAGTAGAAACAGTAAGTGCAGGGTCTGAGAGGAACACCGGAGCCAGGAAGGGAGTGGAGGAGTGGAGGAGTGGAGCTGGGATAACGGGAGAGGGGCTCATGCCACACCCACCTTGCTGGCCACGGGAGGAGACCGGATTTTACTCCAAAGAGCAGTGGGAAGGCACAGGATGGTTTGGAGTGGGGGACACGACATAATTTAACTACCGTTTTTAATGGAAGACCAAGCCTGAACGTTGGCTGGCCAGTTTGAAGGTTACAACAGTGCTACAAGAAAAAGGGGTGAGGCCATTTAGTGAGGTAAGGAAGTCTACCAAGAGATCCCGTGGAGGCAGTGGGGTCAAGGGTTTCCTCCCTGAGACTATTCCATTTAAGATGCCTGGCTGGGCGCAATGGCGCACACCTATAATCCCACAGACTTGGAGAGCTAAGGCAGGAGGATCACAGGTTCTAATCCAGCCTGGGCAATTTAGTCTCAAAATAAAAACTAAAAAGGGCTGGGTGTATAACTCTGTAGTAGAGTGCTCCTGGGTTCAATGCCCCAGGACTACTAATAATAAGATGCCTGTTAGATATAAATTGGTGGGTTTTTTTGCAGTGCTTGGACATAACCTGGGGCCCCACCTATGCTAGGCAAGTTCTCTGCCACTGAGTTACACCCCAGCCCCTATTAGACAGCTAAAGCAAGAAATGGGTCTATAGCTCACAAAGGGAGACTATACAAGAACAGATACTCAAATTTAAGAAATACCTAAGGGACAGTCCACACTTCTTTTTGATGCAGCCTATCTGTGATGAGTTGGCCAGATCTGAACTGGCTAGGTCTCAGGGACAGCCTGTGCTGGTGTCAGGAAGGTAGCCCCACCCTGCAGGGGACTGGTGGGGAAGGGAAGAGGACCTTAGGTAGGTGGCTCCCACAACTAGTGTTCACTGTCTTCCTTTCCAGCGCTCCCTCTGTTCAAATTCTCCAAGACCACCACACCCAGCTCTTGAGGCTGGCCCCCATGGCCCATGTGCTTACCCACTTCCTCTCTGCGGGGCCCAGAGCTATCCATCATGTTCTGATTCGCGAAACCCCTAGTGACCATACTCCTCCTTCCTATAAGCTTCCACCACTCCCCCATTAGCCAGAAGGAAAGAACTGACCAAAGAAGAGCTGTACCCATCTGGGACACCATCTGGGACAAGTTCCTACAGCAGACATCTCCTGCTTGGAGGGGTGGAGCAAGGGATCTGATGGATGTCCCCAAAAGTCACTGCCCCTACCTAGATACTAGGCTGGGAGCTCAGAATCTAAAGTCAAAGACAACAGGTTGCAATACCATTCTCTGAGTCTCTGTTGCTAGAGGCCTTCACGAAGTTGTAATAAATCTTCGTGTTTGAATCATCCAGGTAGAAATCTTTTCTCCCCTCTGTTTTTCCTGGTTTTACTGTCTACACACAACAGCATTCTTGGCAGCAGAAGATGGACAAGCCCACACTTCCAAATCCAAAGGGAATGCTGGAAAGCAGCTCAGCCTCTGCCTTTAGCTCCCCGCCCGACTCTAATGCTCCCAGGAATAAAACCCATGGTTCTGAAGCTGAGCAGCAGCATCCTTCAGGGACTCAGAAGCCAGAAACCCCAGGCTCATTGAACTGTGAGGGGCATGTCCCTGGTAAAACCCAAAATCAAGCGGGAGACAGGAACGATCCAGGTGAAATGGGCAGCCTTGCTCATCCCCAAGAAAGGAGCAGGCAGGGAGCCTGCCAGGAGTTGGGGGAGCCCCAGGCAGAGAGCAGGCTGCCGGCAATGTCCTCCCACAAAGGTCATGCTTTGCTACATTAGGCAGAAATGTCAAGAGAAAATTGGATTCTGAAAGAAAGAAAATAACAGGCATTCTGGGCAAATAAAGAATAAGAAATAGCATTATCTCCTCCTTATTACAAGTTAAAGGAGGGTGGGGACCTGGGATACACCTGATAAGGGGTGGGAGGGCTCCTGCTCTCCCAGGAGTGACCAAGCTGCACCTCCTGCCCATCCCCCCCAACCTCCCAGTCCCACCTGGAGGAAGGTGATCCCTTGGATTTCTCCAATACTTTGTCCAAACAGAGTGGCCACCACAGCACTCACACACTCTGTACACACACACACACACACACACACACACACACACACACACACCACACAAAACCCTGTGGGTATTCCCAGACATAAGGACACTGTATGGCACAAGTCCAGGGAAGGGGACAGTATGCAGAACCTGTGCAGCCGTACACAGTGCCCTCCTAGAAACACACCCGGTCCCAGAGACAAACATACTCAGAAAAGACAAGAAGTAAGGCAAACACATGCAGCACAAAACAAGAAGGGTAAGCCTCTGGCCAGCCTGCCCTTCCAGGCATTTATCAATTCTCATGGTGTAGGGTAAATGGGGAATCTGAGGCACAGGGCTTCAGTAGGACTCACCACCCACTCAGAACTCACTGCCCCAATTTTCCTCCTAGCTGGCACCTCACCTGCATTCATCTGTCATCACTTATTGATGAGCTGGTTACCCTGCTCATCAGACAAGACTTTAATTAAGAAGCATTCTGCCTCTGAGCCCCACGGCCACCTCCTCCTGAGGCCTCCTCCCTAACAGATCCATTATCACCCGTCTCTGACTTTTGCTTGGGTCAGTAGCCAGTGTCCAAGCCACCTGACCATTGAATTAATTTGGTGAGCAAGATTTTATGAGATGATGCATCAGACACTATCCCAAAATCAAGCTCCATGACATCGCCCCCTCTATCTCTCATCTGAGACTCCCAAACAAAGCCATTAATTTTGTCCTGCACAACTGGCGCTCTCATAGCCAGACTCTGGAGTCCAGAGGTAATAAACGATGACGATGCAGCTACTGGGTGCTCTGGGAACATGAGCCAGACACACATATGGTGCAACGCTGGGCCCTGAGGAGTGATAGGGCTGAGATAGCCCTTCCTGAATTAATCCTGTTTTGGACAGGAATCCTTCCAGGCAACCAACCTCCCCTCAGGCTGGTAGAAGGCTCAGCAAAGTAAGTGGTCTTAAGGGGGGTACCAAACTCTAGCAGGACAAAGCCCCATGACTGGGGAGGATATCACCCTAGGAATTCAATTACCCTACAGAAGGGTCAGCAAGGTGGATGCTGTTGCCAAGAGAAACCAAGCTACCAGGCGCAGCGGCGCATGCCTGTAATCCCAGAGGCTCGTGAGGCTAAGACAGGAAGATCTCAAGTTCAAAACCAGCCTCAGCAATGACAAGGTACTAAGCAACTCAGTGAGACCCTGTCTCTGAATCAAATACAAAATAGGGCTGGGGATGTGACTCAGTGGTCGAGGGCCCCTGAGTTCAATCCCCCAGAGCCACACACCCACTTCCAGCAAAAAAAAAAAAAAAAAAAAAGGAAGAGAAACCAAGATGAGTTCTCCTATTGCTCTAAACATACAACCTGGGAGGGGGAAGGAGAGCTAAGATTTGAGAAGGGGACACTAATCCCCCTCCACAAGTGATCCTGCAGATGGAAGTCTTGGTGAATTTCCTGGTTTAAGAGTGAGTCCAACATTTGGAAACACCTCCTTTTCTATTGGCAGAGATAGGCCCGGTGGGCAGGTATTATTAGGATTCAAATGTGGGAAGGATTGTTGGGGGCAGGTGCCCCAAATCCCTGTGCTATTACACCAGACCACCCCACCCAGGCACTATTCACCCAGCATTTCACCGGATCATGTCGGCACCACAGACCTTTTAATAATGCTCCCACCAACGCCTGCAGGTTCACCCCACCTCTGCACCTCCCCAGCCCCTACTTGAGCTTTGTCTTCTGTTTTTTATGAGATTGTAAAACATGATGGTGATTTGTTGCAGAGTGAATTGTGCCCCTGTCCCCAAA